GAGAGAGAGAGAGAGAGAGAGAGAGAGAGAGAGAGAGAGAGAGAGAGAGAGAGAGAGAGAGAGGAGTGATACAAGATTGGTTGTGCGGTCCAAGAAGGAAGAAGGCGGCCATAGCCGCGGAGCTCGGGCACGGAGGAAGAAGAAAGAAGACGAGTGAAGGAGGAGGGAGAGACGAAAGAGAAGAGAGAAGCCATAGCTGAAGAAGAGGAAGGAGGGACGACGAAGGAGAAAAGGGAAGACATAGCCGGGGTGAAAGAAGAACCAGGCGAGGAAGGAGAAAGAAAGGAGGAAGAAGAAGAAGGGTGGCGAGGAAGAAGAAGGCAGCAGCCATAGCCGAGTTGAAGGTTGACCAGGGGGTTGACCGAAGTTGGTTTGGGCGTTGACCAAGGCGTTGACCAGAGTGGACTGGAGCGTTGACCGGCGAGTTGACCAGCGTTGACCAAGGCGTCGACCAGGGTTGTTGACCACGATTTGAGCAAGCTGGAGCTGGTATATTCTCGCTAAGCCCTCAGCCTATCCCCTCGCCCTATGGATGTGCACTCACCCTATGGTACTTGCTGAGTCTGTTTGTCTCTTCTTTGTGCATTGAGTCTCTTCTGTCCAGGTGATAGGAACTCCGTGTATGAAGGATAGAGCCTTGTTGACCAAACCCATACGGGCTGAGTAGGGCTAAAGGCCGTGTCTGACGACTCGACTGTCCCGGAGGACACGAACCCTCCCAAGGACCGGTACTGACTGGCGGGCTGCTCGGTGTGGGATGGTAGGCCCAAAATCCGAGCTGTGGTCCTTAGATTGAGTCAGTCTTAGGTTGTGCCAGTCAGGGAGCCGAGGTCTAAGTGGTGAGGCCTAGAACTGTCATCCGGTTGTGCACCTATCACCATGGTTGACACTCACAGTGGGAAGAGCACCACGCCCTACAGTAAGGCTCAAGAAGAGCAAACCGTCGCCATCCTGAGAGAGAGGAGAGAGAAGAAGGAACTCCTTAGACAGGCGAAGATGAAGATGATAGCAGAGAAGCAGGCGACAAAGAAAAAGAAGCCGGAGGAGGAGATGAAAAGGTTGCAGCAAGAAGAGGAGGAGAGAATGAGGGCTGCAGTAGAGGAAGAGGTTGAAGAGGAGGAGGAGCAGCCGAAAGAAGAGCCCCTCAGAAGAAGAAGATTGGGGGAAGGAGTAAAGAGCAGTGGCACGAAGGAAGATGACCCGTGGGTGGAGAAGAAGATAAGTGAGTGGGTGGCTAATTTATTGCTGGGAGAAGATGAAGGGGCAATGTTATATATATCTCAGGAGGAGAAGGAAGCAGCAATCAAGGAGATCGAGGCGACGAGTGATCCCCTAGAACGCCAGGCTATAGAGAATGAGAAGAGGTTGGACTGGAAGTTACGCCTAGCGAGAGAGAAGAAGAGGAGGATGGAGGAAGCCAACCGGATGGCTAGAGAAGTGGAGAGTTTACAAACATCTAGACAGGAAGTAGAGGCCCAGCCTGATATCCTGGCCAAGTTTGACAAGATCCTTGGGAGCATCGAGCTCTTAGGCAGGGCCTGGACCGAGCACCATCAGTCTGTAAGGGGCCAAGACATGGCCCTCCACTCCATCCGGTCTGGTTTCGAGGACTTCGCGCGCGATGTAATGACCCACGTCGGGACCGAAGTCAGAAAGTTAAGAAGCGCAGAGAAATTCTGTGCAGGCGCCATCGAAGGCGCCAGAGTAGTGGCCGCTGCAAAGAGTGAAGGGCATCCCTACAAAGAGTCTGTCAAGCTCAAGTTTCCTGACTCTTATGGCGGGAAAAAAGACGAAAAMTTTGATAACTAGGAGGCTAGTATTGACACATACGTGTACTTGCAACTTACAGCACCAGAGGAACAAGTCCTCGTGGCTTTCCATGCATTACGAGACGAAGCGGCTAGTTTTGCTAGGTCCCTCGCGCGAGTAGCCGATTATGAAAACAATATGGTTGCATACTCCAAACTCGCCACTCTTCCCAAATTCCTCAAACTCCTGAGAGAGAGGTTCGCTGATGTCACGCGAGGCGTCAGGGCCTCTGACAAACTGCGAACAATCCACTCACGATAGTGGAAGAGTGAGAGAGCACTCAAGGCAGTTATGGATGATCTGGTAGCCATCCCAGACCACGGGGTCACTGAGACCCAATTAGTTAACTTGTTGTATCGTGCCATGCAAGAGCCCTTACGAGGGCATTTCTTTGAGAAGACCCAACAAGCCACCATCACGTATGATGCGTCGAGTAGAGAGGTGGTCCTGAGGCCAAATCCATGCCAGTTTCCACTTTCTGGCATACGGATTTAGACAAGGGAGAGAAGTGGAAAGGTCGTACCATCTCCGGATAGGTCAGGGCCAAGGATCACCTGATCCTTACTTTAGATGGGGGTGGTACTGACGAAGTCCCCTACAGTCAGATAGAGTGGGGGCTGGAGGAGGAAGACAGTAGTGTAGGCCAGCGGAGGACTTACGGTGTCGTCGTTGCTGGAGGGAGGCCACAAGGTAGAGGAGGAGGCCAGGGCCAAGGGGGCCGGGCCATGGGTGGTCGAGGTCCGGGCGCACAAGGGGTTGGCGGCCAAAGGAACCACCAAGAGGAGGTAGGGGTCAAGGTCCTCCGCCGAATCGCTCGGGGCCTAGTCGATCACCACAACGCAGAGGTGGAGGATCACCTCAAAGGAGAGGAGGTTGGCAGTCAGGACAAGAGGGTTTGGCAACAGCGGATGGAGCAGGGGCAGTGCATCTACTGCGGTGACCCTGCCCATATCATTAAATATTGTCCAAAGTATAGGGAAGCTCGATTTGCTGCCCAGGGGTCAAAAGGAAGCCACTGGTAGGGGTCGCAACTGCCCTTACCATTAGGCCATGTGGGGAAGTGTGCGCGCACCATTAGGAAACTCCCACACCACATGAGCCTATGGTAGAGGTTGCAGGCCAGTGCCTAATTAGCTGTCCAGAGACTACCTGTGTTAGAGTCTCTCTAGGCACTTCCCTCACAGTTCTGGCAGAAGAGTTCAGGGAGAGGATGCTGGCCTGGGCCGAGATGAAGAAGGAGAGCAAAGGACAACTGGTGTTAGTGGATATAGAAGTTTTTAGAAGCAGGGTAGTGGCCCTTATAGACACAGGGGCTACCCGTAGTTATATTAACAGGAAAGCGCTAAAGAAGCTGAGGCTAGGTCTGAAAGTCCAAAAGTTGGAAGACCCCATAGTCAGTATCCTCGCAAACAACTGCACGATGCGTGTTGAGGATTACGTCGAGGGAGTCCAGGCGTATCCGCGCTTAGAGAAAGGTGGCAAGGTGGAGAAAGTTCTCCACTCTCTGACTCTCCTCGTAGAGGACAACCTCCCTTTTGATAGAGTCCTAGGTATGGAGTGGGGAGAGGCAGCAGGGGCCACACTTCTCTTAAGAAAGCATGAGTGTAGGCTACCTAGTCCATCAGGCGAGGTCAAGACTGCCCGTCTGTTCCATGTGTCAGGAGTAGATAACTCCCTGGCACATTGTTGTCTCAGTGCTCGCGCGTTCGCACGATTAGTTAAAAAGGAGCAGTTAGAAGAACAAGTCTTTGTAGCCTATGCAAGGCCTGTCACTAAGCCTAGCGAGGAGAAGCCAATAGACCCAACTATTGCCAAGCTGCTGGAAGAGTTTAAAGATTTGGCAGAGCCGCCACCAGGAATACTGTCGCGACCAATCCAGCACCGCATTGAGATAGAGCCTGGCAGTAGAACTCCTAAGGGTGCAGTTTACAGGATGTCCCCAAGGGAGTTAGAGGAGTTGCATAAGCAGTTAGACGAACTCCTCGAAAAGGTTGGATTAGGCCCAGTTCTTCTCCTTTCGGAGCACCCGTGTTGTTTTTCCCCAAAAAGGAGGGAGAGTTGCGCATGTGTATCGATTATAGGGGTCTGAATGCATAGCTACGATCCGGACCACCGGACAGGGATCCGGACTGTTCGTGGTCCGGGGTCCGGGGTCCGGGTCCGGATCTCGGTCCGGATGTGTGGCCCCCAGCCCAACGGGCAAAATTTTTTTGGGTGGTCCAGGGCGTTTGTTCACGCCCTGGGCCGCCCCAAAAAAATGGTGCCTGATTTTTTATGCCCCTCGCCAACGATCCCGAAGGCCTGGGGAAAGTCTACCAGGGGGTTTGGTAACTTTGGTTTTGTTTCCTACCTGCGGCGCAAGTGTGTGGTGCACCCAGAGCAGTGCGGTGGTCACCAATGGCAAAAAAAAAAAAAAAAAAAAGTCGTTATGTGTGAGAACACGAGAGAGAGAGAGAGAGAGCAAACAAATAGCTCCTTATAATTTATTAGAAAACCCTTGTGGGTTACCCGAGAGGCCCCTGCAGATAATTAGCAAGGGCCTTCTCACCATGAACTTAGTAATGCTCATAGCCATGCTAGGGTCACGGCACGCCAAGTATATATGTTGTGGATTCACAYTAAGGTCCGTGTTTCAGCAGTTATGGGACCATTGAGCACGCGAGTTTTTGGGCAGTAGCAGGCCAACTCACCACGTGCTTTTCAGGGCTTCCCTCCACTACTCACCAAATGCGCAAAACTAGAATGAATCTTTTGCTAGAACATGGAACCATACGCCACCATATGTTTTGTCTTTTGTGCAAGTAGTGAAGAGTGGAGCAAGGCCCTTAGGGCCACTGCTCGTAGGAAAAGGAAACAAAAGAGAGAGTTGGAATGAATCTTCTGCTAGAACATAGAACCATACGCCGCCATACGTTCAGTGTTTTGTGCAAGTAGTGACGAGTGGAGCAAGGCCCTTAGGGCTGCTGCTCGTAGGAAAACGAAACAAAAGAAAATAGAGCTACGGTAGCAAGTAGTTGTAACTTGTGACACATAACTGCTGGAAAGCAGACCTGACTTCGGATCAAGAACGTATATTGCTGGCCTACTCCACTCTCACACGAAATTTGTCGAACGTCTCTTGAGATATTGGACCCTTGCAGATGCATTGCTGGGGTCCTTCGAAAAAAAGACTATTCAATGAGGAATACGTGGGCCCAATTTTTTTTTTCCTGTACTCCTCTGTCGTCCTCCTCTCTTCTTGTCTTCCTCCTCCTCCTTTTCGGGTTATTTATTTTTTATTTGGTCCACTTCCCCATTAATGCATGTCATCTTGGCACAGGGGCCATGCTAATCTTGCCCTTGGGACAGTCATTAACATTGGAAGGAGAAGATTAGCATGGCCCCTGCACATGGATGACACGGTTTAAATGAGTAGGAGTAGAGGGTTTTTTTTTTTTTTTTTTTTTTTTTTTTTTTTTTTTTTTATTTTTAGGAAAATATAGGGGATCTGGACCGGTCCGGAAGTTCTGGAATATTCCGCTTTCCCGGAAGTCTGGATGGGCCCGGGAGGTCCGGGGTCCGGAATCGGTCCGGGGTCCGATCCGGCGTAGCAATGTCTGAATGCCATTACAATGAAGAACGCTGAGCCGCTGACCAGTATAGACGATCTTTTGGATCGGGTGCAGGGCTGCAGATATTTCTCGAAGATAGATTTAAAGTCCGGATATCATCAGATAGAAGTCCATCCTGATGACCAGTGCAAGAATGCTTTCCGAACTAGATATGGGCATTATGAGTTCATCGTGATGCCCTTTGGACTCACCAATGCGCCAGCCACATTCCAGCGTTGTATGAATGATGTGTTTAGGCTTTGGTTAGATAGATTTGTTGTAGTCCACCTAGATGATATATTGGTTTTCAGTAAGACCCTCCAAGAGCATCAGGGTCATTTAAGGCAGGTCTTGGAGAAGTTGAGAGAGACTAACTTCAAGATCAATGCAAAGAAGTGCGAGTGGGCCAAGACACAAGTTTTGTACTTGGGCCACGGCTTAGACGGAGTTAAGCCAGAGGATAGCAAGATCGCGGCGATTAGAGATTGGTCGACGCCCCGGACGATGACAGAATTGCGGTCGTTTCTAGGCCTAGCTAATTATTATAGGAAGTTCGTGAGGAACATTTCCACTATCGCCGCTCCCCTTCACAGGTTGCTCAAGAAGGATGCAATCTGGAAGTGGGACAAAGATTGTACAACCGCTCTTAAGAAGTTAAAGCGAGCGTTGATAGAGTACCCTATCCTCAAGGTGGCAGATCCGTCCTTGCCATTTGTTGTCACCACGGATGCAAGTCAGTATGGGATACGCGTCGTGTTGTAGCAGGATGACGGCAATGGCTATAGACCCGTAGAGTTTATGTCAGCGAGGACGCATCCAGAGAAAGTAGCTACCTCGACTTACGAGAGAGAACTCTACGCTTTCAGGCAGGCCTTAGAACACTTGAAGCATTATCTGCTTGGGAGGCACTTCAAAGTTTATTCGGACCACGAGGCCCTTAGATGGCTGAAAACGCAGGCCAAGATGACACCTAAGCTAACTAAGTGGGCCGTTGAGATAGACCAATATGACTTTGAGCTCAAACCAGTCAAGGGCAAGTATAACGTAGTTGCGGATGCTCTAAGTAGGAGATCAGATTACTTTGGAGCCATAGTTCACTATCTGGATATAGGGAGAGACCTGCAAGAGAGAGTAAGATAGGAGTATGCGCAGGACCCTGTTTATAGTGACCACCTCAAGAAAGTTAAGGAGGCCCTAGAGACTGAACCAGATTACGCACTACAGAGTGATTACTGTTTAAAAAGACCAACGTAGTAGACCGACTGTGCGTTCCTAATAGTGAGGAGATCCGTAGTTTGATCCTAGGGGAATGCCGCAACACTGACGGACATTTCGGTTGGCAAAAGACTCTAGCACCATCCTAGGGGAATGTCGCGACACTGACGGACATTTCGGTTGGCAAAAGACTCTAGCCAATTTGATGCATGCGTATACTTGGCCAGGAAGCTGACTGCATAGAGTATGTTCGCAGTTGCAAAGTCTGTCAGAGGAATAAGACAACTACGCGTGCCCTTCTAGGTCTTCTTTGACCCTTGCCTATACCTGATCAGCCTAGCGATTCTGTATCCATTGATTTCATGGATGCTAGCGTCAAAAGTAGGCACGGAAAGAGCCAAGTCATGGTAATAGTTGATAGATTTAGCAAATATGTTGTTTTTGTTCCCTTACCCGCTGAAGCCCGTACATAGTTAGTCATTCAGAAGTTTTTCGACTTTTGGGTTAGTGATCATGGGATCCCATTGTCAATAGTCAGTGACAGAGATACCCGATTTACAAGTTAGAACTGGCAGGAGTTAATGAAAGTATACGGGTCAAAGTTGTTAATGTCGTCTGGCCGTCACCCAGAAACTAACGGTCAGACAGAACAGATGAACAAGATCCTACAGCAAGTTCTGCGCATGTACATTAGACCAGATCAAGTCAACTGGGACGACATGTTGCCCAAGGTAGCCAGTGCATATAACAATARCGTGCAYTTAGCCACCTGTCGTACTCCCAATGAACTGCATAAGTCCTTTAGACCACGTAGACCGTTTGAAGGACTTAACCAGGACCAGATTCATAGGCTACCGCCCGGTACTAGGGAGTTTGCGATACAACACGAGAAGGAGTTAGCTACCGTTGTTGAAAACCTCAGGAAGGCCCAACACCGAATGATAGAGCAGGCTAATAAGCACCGTCGCCCGTCGCAGTTTCAAGTAGGCGACCTAGTCTGGGTCAAGTCCAAAGAGTTTGCTCCTGAGGAAAACATTTTGCAGAAGTTACTGCTAGCATACAGGGGCCCATGGCCAGTTCTAGAGGTTAAGGGCAGAGAGGATGGGCCGTCCTATACAATAGAGATTCCGGCACACCTCCACACCTACCCTGTGTTCCATGCGTCAAAGTTGTTGCCGTGTGTCACAAATCAACAGTTTCCATCAAGAAGATCCATGATCCCTCCGGAGATGGATGGAAGATATGACATCGAGGGCATTGTAGGTGAAGACGTATTCAGAGCAGGAGGTAGAGGTCGTCCAGAGAAACAGTATAAGGTCTGATTTGCTTATTAGGAACCCCAGGACGACCGCTGGTTTACTAGAACTGAACTTCTAGAAACAGCTCCCAACGTAGTTAGAGCCTACGAGAGAGTCTTGGACTGAATTATTCTCGGAGGACCTCGAATTTAGGCCGGTGGGAGTGAAACGGTATTCACCTGTTAGCAGTAGTGAATGCAGATCCCAGGGCTCGATCTCTCGTTCTTACCTTACCTGTGTACAGTACCTGTGTCGACCCCGAAAGTTGAACCCGTGACCTGTGTATTCGCAACAGTTGGCAGGCTGTCGTAGGTCCGTAGGTTGTAGGGGTTCGATCTGTAGACCTGTCGGATAGAGGTCTTAGTGAGTTCTAGAAGTCGTAGCTGTAGCTCTTCTGAAAGGTCAAGTTCGTAGCTGCTACAGTCCTGAGAGGTCAAGGTCGTAGCTGCTACAGTGTNTCTCTCTAGTACTACTCTAGCTCCTATGGCGCCCAGCGCTGAAGACTACTGCTAACGCTACTAGCGCCCAGCGCTGAAGACTACTGCTAGCGCTATAACTACTCCTGCAGCGCTCCTCCAGAGTGCTGCTGCCGAATCCCGAAGACTACCTCCTGCCTCCTGAACTGCACGTGAAGTGCCTGGGAAGTACCTAGGAGCTACCTGCCTGCCTGCAGGGCGGGCCAGTCCTATATAGTGCTGGCCCGTCCAGGAGACTGCTCTTGCCAATGCCAAAACGTGCCAGACCCTGGCGTTGAAGCTCAACCAGGGGTTGTCTTGAAAACAGGCCCGAAATGGCCTGTGCTAAAACCCTGGTTTGTTGCCTGAGTTTCAGGGCGGGTTGAACCGACGAGGGCCTGAAAATGGCCCTCAGTTTCAGAATGAAAAATCTCAGGGCCGGAAAGGCCCTGATTTAGCCTGAAACGACACAGGGCCTGTAGGCCCTACGTTTTCAGGTTTTCAGGCTGAAACTACAAGGGGCCTGTACGTCCTTATTTTCAGGCTTTTGGCCTGAAAACGTCACGGGCCTGAAAGGGGGCCCGTGCAGCCTGTTGCAGGCGCAGCATGTAGCACCTTACCTGTGTCGACCCCGAGAGTTGATACCGTGACCTGTGTATTCGCAACAGTTGGTAGGCTGCCGTAGGTCCGAAGGTTGTCGGGGTTCGATCTGTCGACCTGTCGGATAGAGGTCTTACTGAGTTCTGGAAGTCGTAGCTGCAGCTCTTCTGAAAGGCCAAGTTCGTAGCTGCTACAGTCCTGAGAGGTCAAGGTCGTAGCTGCTACAGTGTTCGAAAGGCCAAGCCCACAGACTTCCGGAAGGTCCGGAAGTGGCCTTTCGAAGTTGTCTCAYGTTTGGACAGAGGCAAGTGGGCAAGTGGTGAGCCCAACTGCGTTACGTTGGCAGTGCGACTGCATCGAGTTGGCAGTGCAAACCCATGCAGTCAGCGGTACCGGTCCCAGTCAGTCACAGTCCAGTCAAGCAAGTACCGTGTGGGACTGTGTGCACCAAGGGCATGGGAAGGGGGCAGACCAACGAGTTACAGAAGTATAAATCAAGAGGGAGTGCCCAGCCATTCATTCATCCCTGCATAAGCCATGCGGAAGTGCTGCCTGAGCGACTTGTGTGAGGTGGTCTGCCGAGTGCCCGGAGACGAAGTGGCTGAAGAAGATAGTTAGCCATAGCTAGTGAGGGACAGCGGCCATAGCCGCCATAGCTGATGGGCGAGTGTGTTAGTGTTAGCGTGTGTGAGTGTGTATGTGTGTGGGATATCCAGGGTGATCCAGAGTTTAGTGAGTGCGAACAGTGGTGTTGGATACAGAGACGAGAGTTGGAGTGTGCAGGCGCTGATGCGCCATAGCCTGTTGAAGCGAGCTTGTATCTGAACTGTGTTTTCGACTTCCATATCTCTGAGCTTTGAGTGGGAGCTGTTTACCAGTGTGACTCACCATCTGTTTGCATGAGTGCGGAGTGGAAAAGAAAGCGAGTCTGATTGCAAAGTGATTCTTCCCAGCCCTCTCCAGGTGTTAGGAGCTTGGGAACTACTCCCTGGACAGAGCAGAGATAGGTAGATGTAGGCCCATAACCTTAGGATAACTCAGTTCTGGTTAGTAAATTTAAAGTGGCCTTAGACCCTAGCCCTAGATCCTAGCTGTGAACTCTAGTCTTAGATCCGGGTTCCCTTGATCTGCGAATAGGCTCTTGTGCCCCTTGCTTGCCTGAGGTAGTAGCTGCTCTCCTGAATAAAGGTGATCCATTACCTGCCTTGCACGGCTTGTGGGTAGGACATAGACATGGGTGGCTAGTGTGAGGTAAGAAGAGAGAAGAAAATAGGGTTGGGAAAAATATAACTGTCCCTCAGATGAGGAGAAGACAGCTGTATTTTTTTTTTTTTTTAAATCAAACCAAGTGCCAGGAAGATGAGCAATAGCGAACTCCAGCAATCAAACAGCATCATACACATGAGACCAGGCAGTCGTGACCTCGAACCAATAGCAGAATTGCATCACGAGTTTCACCAAATAAGAGCACGCCAAAAGCTCATAATTGACAATGCTGGAATCGTCTCATCATCCAATGTTGATATCCTATCTGGTGCTCGGCGCCCAGACTACGAATGGCGGATCCTATCTAGCCTAGACTACAATGCCGCTGATGACGTCAACAGCTTGCCAAGTACGAGCAGATCTCGGCCAATGCCGCACGTGTGAAGCACCAGGTATGTCTCTCGTATCACTCACAACCTCGTACCCCAACTCACAGATGCCACTTGCACCCAGGGACCACCACGCGCCTCATCCAGCATACAGCAGCGCAGCTTGGCTATGGCTGCCTGCTCCTTCCAGCTCGCCCGTGAGCGCGCGAGCGCTGGCCAGCGGTAGCGCAGCAGCGCTTGCGCACAATGCAGCCAGTGCCCGAATGTCCAATGCGTAGGCAGGCCCTTCTCTATATCGAAGTGGCCTGCTGCTGCGTGCAGTAATGCAGTACTGGGCCCTGGCCCAGAAGCTTCCGGTAGGCCCCACGAGGCTGAGCCTCAGTCCGAAGTAATCAGGCCCAGGGCCTGTGGTGGTTACCAGCACCCAACTGCCCTCAGCCTTTGTTAGGTCCACTTTGTGTATCCGGCCCAGGGCCTGCCTCAGTTATATGCAATGAAAGGCAGTCTGGGCCTGGGCGCTTCCAACCAACTGGCGCTGAGCAACTGCCTGAATTTCCCCAGTTGCATGGTGACTCCAAATGGCCTGTAGGCCTCGGTCATGCCTGCCTTTACTTAGGGCGGCCGACTGTGTGAAAAATAGGCCCTGTAGGGCATATCGAGGCCCTGTGCCTCGCACAAGCTGAACCAAAACTGAACTAAACTAAACTGAACCGAATGGAATGGAACAGAACAGAACAAAAGCCAAATTGAACCGACAGAAAAAACAGAATAGAACAGAATAGAACAAAAGCCACACCGCAGACGCGGCCCGATCCGACCAGAGCAGAACATAACAGAATGGACACGACCAGACCGAAAGAGAATAAAACAGAACTACAACAAACAGATATGAACCAAACCGAACAGAGCAGGAGGGAAGGAAATGGACCAACACTGAACAGGATCACGTCTAACCAAAGTTACTGAGACAAACCTGGATTAAACACAACCAAGCAAAAACAGATGAAGCTTGGCAAAACCAATCAAACTAAATAGAACAGTACAGAACAGAAATACGTTAGAACCTGAAGAGAGAGGATATGATTGACGTTACCTCCTGGTACACCAGCCAGCAAAACGCCATTGATGGAATTGGTTGCCTCAATCAAAGCTGTTTGCTCATCAGGCTCTATCTGCATAAAGAAAAGAGGCATTCCACCAGTGAACAACCATTAGTCAAAGTCAACACGGAGAGAGAGAGAGAGAGAGAGAGAGAGAGAGAGAGAGAGAGAGAGAGAGAGAGAGAGAGAGAGAGAGAGAGCACTCACAGGTACGCCAGCCAGGTTGCCCATTTTCTTCAGATGAGATCGTACACGCTCAAAAGCAGCCCTAGTCTCCCAGAGGGTTGTAGCGACTTGTCCAGTGGCAAAATCTCGCTGTGCAGTGCTGGCAACTCCAGGCTGATCCAAATCAAGCCACTGAAAAAAAAAAAAAAAAGAGTAAAAACAGTCAGCAGGATAACATTTTTCACTTCCAGCTGGAAAGAGGTTCCAACCGTCATCCCAAAGGGAAGGATAACTCTGGGGGATTGTACATTGAAAAAACAATGGCAATACCAGCAAGTTGCAGCAACTCGTCCGTTGTTTAAGACCCTCCCCCCAGACAAATCATCAACGAATAGGTACATAGAGAGCTATGATCATTCCGGCAAATGAGTGTTTCGCACTGCTTACATGTTCCCTTATGTTATCAGATGTTCCCAGATAATCCCAGACATTACCAGACGTACGGTCACCAGGCATTACGAGGTGTTACCATGCATTACCTCAGGTTACCAGATGTTACCAGAGGTTAGCAGATGTTAACAGACGTTAGCAGATGTTGCCCAATGTTATCAGATTGTTACCGGTGTTACCAGAAACTGCCAGAAGGTACCTGATGGACCAGATGTTCCCAGGTGTTCCCAGGTCTTAGCGGGTGTTACCTGCAGTAACCAGATGTTACCAGATGGTAGCCATAGTGTTGCATACTGTAACGGTGCAGACCAGAACAAGAACCGACCTCTCTCACATAGTACAGGATAGTGCAGCGGAAGGCTAAAATACCAATGATCAGACCAATCAATGTCGCAATGCAGACCAAACATACATCATCATCATCCCATGGTGTGAAGGGGCCTGGCGCTCACACAGGAAGAATGCGCCAGTCCCAAGCCATACACAGACGAAGAGGAGGGGGATCAGATGAAGAAGAGGGGGAAGATGGGAATGTCTTTAACACCAAGTCTTCGGTACAGGTCCCAAATAATCCCTCGTCCAATTGTCTTGATCCCAATGTCGAGTCTGAATCCAAATGTCGTCAAATATAAAAGTCGCAAATCTCTCTCTCTCTCTCTCTCTCTCTCTCTCTCTCTCTCTCTCTCTCTCTCTCTCTCTCTCTCTCTCTCTCTCTCTGTAGGTGCTGAGAAGTCAGGTGGCGAGAGGGTGAGNTCTCTCTCTCTCTCTCTCTCTCTCTCTCTCTCTCTCTCTCTCTCTCTCTCTCTCGCTCTCTCTTAGTCTGTAGGTGCTGAGAAGTCAGGTGGCGAGAGGGTGAGGGAGAGATGGTGGACTTAGAGGAGGAAGAAGAACAAAACTCTCTCTCTCTGTCTGGTGTACCAAGTACTAACCTGTGAAGGTCGCGCCTTGTTGCAGGTACATCGAAGATGAAGCTGGAGTTATGGCGCCACAGGTAAGTCTCCCTGGCCTCCACCACTCTCTCTCTCCAACGCTACTCTAATCTCCTAACAGCGCCCAGCGCTGAGAAGTCAGGTGGCGAGAGGGTGAGGGAGAGATGGTGGACTTAGAGGAGAAAGAAGCGAGATGGCGAGAGGGTGAGGGAGAGATGGTGGCCTCCACCACTCTCTCTCTCTCTGGTGTACCAACCTGTGAAAGTGGCGCCTTGTTGCAGGTACATCGAAGACGAAGCTGGAGCTATGGCTCCACAGGTAAGTCTCCCTGGCCTCCGCCACTCTCTCTCTCTCTCCAACGCTACTCTACGCTCCTAACAGCGCCCAGCGCTGAAGACTACTCCTAGCTCTACTACTAGTACTGCAGCGCTCCTGCAGAGTGCTGCGGCCGCATCCTGAAGACTGCGTCCTGAACTGCACGTGAAGTGCCCTTGAACTGCCTGCAGCCTGCAGGGCGGACCAGTACTATATAGTGCTGGTCCGGCCTGGGTGGCTGCTCTTGCCCATGCCGAATCGTGCCAGACCCTGGCGTTGAAGTTCAAACAAAGGTTGTCTTGAAACAGGCCTGAAAATGGCCTGTGCTAAACCGTGGTCTGCTGCGTAAGTTTCAGGGCAGGTCGACTTTATGAGGGCCTGAAAATGGCCCTCCTTTTCAGGCTTTTTGGCTGAAACGACACAGGGCCTGGAGGGCCCTTATTTCCGTCTGGTTGGGCCCTGCAGGCCCGTGTGGATGCGCAGTATGCCACGCACCACCCTCCTTGAAAGACCGAGCTTACCTGCCAGGGCGAAGCTGCCTGTCAGAGGGAGGGACCAAAGTCCGGGTGGGAGGGGCAGGTCGTGAAGCTTCCTTAGCTAGTCTTTGTCGTTCGTAGTGAGTGTAGATCAGCGGTGCCGATGCTTGCAACTCTGCTCGTGAAACTCATCGAGTGTCATCAGGATCGCATGCTTTGAAGGTAACTTTGTACTGTCGAGGCTTGTTGCCGTATTTGCGATCCGTGATGACGTGGTCGACTTCTTGATGACCATCCATAGACGGAGGGTCTTGCGATCGTCAGCCCGGGAAATCGTCGCTCTTAGCCGGCGTATATGTTGCCAGCTTGGAGGAGTGGAAAATCGGGTGGCCCGTTAGATGCGGCGGAATGTTGATCACAAATGAGGGTCCATTGGGCTCATCGCCCACCGCTGATGTTACGGTCCAAGGTCCAAACCACTTGAGGAGTAACTTGCGTGAGATGTCTTATTCGAGCGCCAATTCTTCCGCAGAGACCCAAACCAGGTCACTGGCGCGAATAGGACATGGTACGCGACGCCGATTGGCTTGCTGCTGCATGCGGACTTGAGCCTTTTGCATATTTATGCAGGCTTGAGCCAGCAAGTCTCGGTACTTCCGAACAGAGGTAGGAGAGCAAGGGGCGTCAATGTCGGCAGCCATGGGAGGAGGAGATCAGCAAAGATACGACCTTTCCGGCCACCGTGGTGCAACTCGAATGGAGTCACGCCGATCGCCGGATGCAACAAAGTGTTGTAGGCAAACTCGATGTCGGGGAGGCGGTCAACCCAATCGTCCTGGTCCAGACGGATGAGCGTACAAAGCATCATTTTGGCGGTTTGATGTGCCCGCTCCGTTTGCCCGTCCGTTTGTGGATGCCGAGCCGAACTCGGTTTCATTTCGGTGCCGGATTCCTGCATGAGAGAAGTCCAAAATACTGACATGAATCGAGTGTCTCGGTCGCTAACGATGTCTTCCGGTACGTCGTGGCTACAAATCCAGCCGGTGTGCAGGAGGCGCGCACGCTCGGGAGTCCTGGCGTAGTACTTGCAAGGGAGAAATCACGCGTCTTTACTCAATCGGTCAACGACCGTGAGGATGTCGTTGTGTCCGAGGCGGTCACGGGGAAACGGGTCAGTGACGTCCATAGCAATGGAGAGGCCGGGTTCCCGCAGGATAGGCAACGGGCGCAACTCGCCGTAGGGATTGCGGTTGCGGAGCTTGCTGCGTCGGCAAACTTCGCAAGAGTCGCAATACTGAGTGACGTCGGTGATGACGTCGGGCCACCGGAATCGTTGTCGAAGTCGTGCAATGGTCCGATTGACTCTGAAATGGCCGGCAAGTCGTGAGTCGTGGTACTCGCCGAGAAGGCGAGTCTGAAAACGACGGTCTTGTGGGACACACAATATGTCCATGCCTCGCGAGTGGAGAAGCAAGTACCCATCGACGATGCGATAATGGCTGGCCGGCGGGTGATCTGAAGATAGTTGTGCATAGAGTGTGGCGAAATCCAGTTCAGACTGGTAGCCCTGAATGAAATGCCGCTGGAGTTCCTCGTTGAATGCAAAGGCATGATGTGTCATAGCGCAAAGATCGGGTCTTCACGAGAGAGCATCTGCTGCGCAATTGGAGAGGCCGAGAAGATGTTTCGGTGTGAAGTCAAATTGGTCGATGAAGTACATCCATCGTCCGATAGTGCTGCTCACCGTATCTTGCGTCTTGTAGTAGGTCAATGGGTTGTTAGCCGTGACCCATGTGAACCTACGACTCCCAAGGAGGAAGTGCCGCCATCGCTTGAGAGTCATCACGAACGCGAGCAGCTCCTTCTTCCTTGCATCATCAAGTGAGTTGATGGGAGGCACCTTGTGGCTGAAGTACTCCACGGGGTGCCAATCATCGTCGTCGTGTTGTTCCAAGACTGCCCCAATGCCATAGTCGGAAGCGTCAGTCGTCACTCTCGTTGGCAAGGTGGGGTCGTAGATTCTAAGGACGGGTGCCATGAGCATGGTCATCTTGAGTGCTTGGAATGACCGGCGTGCTTCAATCTAGAATACGAATGGCACCTTTGGCGATTGTAATCTCGTCAATGGTGCGACAATTCTTGAGTACCCAGTGATGAAGCGTTGACAGTAGCATGCCAACCCCATGAATGAGCGAACGTCTGTGGTGTTGGTCGGCTTGGGCCATACGCGGATGGCCTCGATCTTGTCCGCGAAGAGATGGATGCCTTGCGGCGTCACATAATGGCCCAAGTATTCGAGCTCCTGCCGCACGAATTCACATTTGTCGTGATTGGCTTTGTACTTGGCTTGTCGTAGCCGCTCCAAAACGGTGCGCAGGTGCTCTAGATGCTCGTCCAAACTCCGACTGTACACCAAGATATCGTCGAGGTAGTACAAATTTATCCAGGATGTGTCGGAACTCCGTTGTCATAGTCGCTTGGAACGTGGCCGGACCATTCGTAAGGCCAAAAGGCATAACCAGCCATTCGAAATGCCCATATCACGTCTTAAATGCGGTCTTGTAGAGGTCCTCCTGTTGGATCTCGAGTTGGTGATATCCCGCTTTGAGGTCAAGCGTTGAGAAGAACTTAGCGCTGCCCAGCCGTTCAAGAAGGTCGTCGATGCGCAGAAGAGGGCCAACGTTCTTGATGGTTTGTGCGTTGAGCTTGCGATAATCGATGCACAACCGCAAGTCCTTGTTCTTCTTCCAGACGAAGAGAACAGGAGCATCGTATGGCGAAGAGCTAGGCCAAATCCAGCCTTTCTCAAGAAGGTCATCAAATTGTGCCCGTAGCACACTTAACTCTTCCTCACTCATGCGGTAGATGCAACCACGTGGAGGTACGGCCCCGACCTTGAGGATGATCTCGAGGATGATCCGGTACTACTCCGTACGGGGCTTCGAACATGTCGCCGTAGGCATCGAGAAGCTCGGTGATGCGTGGGTCCGTCGATGGGATGTCATGGGGAGGGAGGGCGTGGAGAAAACACACACCCATCTCCTCGATGTCATCCCTGGAAGCTCGAATGCTTGCGGCGGATACCACGTGACAGCTGATCGAATGGTAAGGTGGAGGCACCGTGCATGGGACTAGTACTCCGGTCCGATCACGAACGTGAACGGTGCGGCGGTAGAAGTTCACCAGGTGATCCTCGCTTCGCAGCCATGACATGCCCCAAATCATGTCGAATTGGGTGTCCAAAATGTCGAAGGACACGACCTCGCTTGCATGCGGGGCGAAGTACACAGGGACGGAATCAATGCACCGGTCGATTAACCTTTTGTGTGTGATCGTCGGCCAACGTGACTTGTGTGGGCTGCGGCTTCCTCCGAACGTGTGGCCCAAGGCCAGCGCATACCATAAAGTCTTGGCACATATAGTTGCGAGTAGCTCCGCAATCGATCAAAGCGTTTCAGGTCGCCTCTCCGATCTGAATGTGTATGTACAGCAATGGCGCGTCATTGTTGTCGTACCGTTGTGTCTTGAACTCGCGGTCGATCTTCGCAACGTAATCGTGAAGGTCAACAACCTCTACTCTGACGTCCATCAACGGAGCTGGTACTGCAGTGTGCAAGTAATCCCGCAATTGTGCCATGAGCACGTTGCAATGCGGTTTCAGCAATCGACCGGTCGGCCGAAGGGGCATCTATTGGAAGTCTGCGAACGTCAACGGGTCGAGTCTCTCAAGTCTTGACCATGACGTGGAATCCCCAGCGAAAGCTGGCGGCGAAGCTGCCGAATCGGTTGCCGATGGTGGTGAAACCGTGCATGCGGTGGATTGTTGCACATGGAGTGGCTGGTCCAGCAGTGGGACTAAGTGGACAGCGTAATCGTCGTAAGTGAACCGAGGACTCGCCACATCCGCATTCTCCCCAGATGTGTAGGAGGCCGCTAGCAAGGCGGCTGAATCTGGCGGAGTGAGAGGTGGAGTCGCCTCACCTCCCGTGCGGCTCAGTTTCCCACGCTGATTCGAGGTTGAACGTCCTCCTTGCCTTGATTCTGGCATTGGGAGGTCTTGTGCTTGGTGCTGTTGCACCAATAGCAGCAGCTGTATCGGCTGCGGTACTTGTATTCGGCCTCGGTCAAGTTGAACTTGACCCATGGTACTGGCTGTCCATTTCCGGCTGGCGATGCGGTTTTCGCCTTCCCTTTTCCACGAGAGTTGTTGTTGCTTCGCAGCTGGACAGCGGCCACCTGATCTCCCTCACGTGATGTTGGGGTGGCTCCCGGGTCTTCCACAATGTTGTCCGGTTGGACTGCGGCGACTTGCTGCGGATGAGGACCAAATTTTCCTTTCTCCAGATGGGCCAGCTGCCACGCTGACTTCTCGTGTGCAGCAGCCTGGTTGGTCTTGATGATCTCACGCGCCTTGTCGATGATTTCGGCGAAGGTCGTGTACTATTCTCAATCACCAAGTGCGTGGCTCAAGGCAGCACAAGACCGGTTGTAAAACTCCCGACGCAGATGCGAAAATGGCAAGTCAAGATCGGGTGTTGCCACGATCTTTTGCCATTCCGTGAGCCAGTCGCGTGTTGGTGTGTTGCCTTGAGTCATGCTGAAGAGGCGGCTACTTGCGAGCGCTTGGGCATCATCGACAATGAACCGCTTCTTCCATTCCCTTGCCATCTCGTTCCAGGAGATCTTCTTGTGCAGATCGGAGACCTGGACGTCGTGGATGGTTGCCATGTGGCTGAGCCAGATCTGGCATCCGCCCTTGGCGTTGAGGAACAACATCGAGATGTACAAGTGATTGGGGACCTCATGAATCCCAGTCTCCGCTGTAAAGCCTTGCCACCAGATGACTGGGTCCTGATGTGTGTAGTCATCAAACTTCTCGATCCGGAACGTCGGCATCTTGTACGGCCGCGATGCACTGGTGCTGCCATCATTGTCGGGCGCCTGCTGAAGTTGCGGAACCTCAGTCTCAAGGTGTCGAGCTGCTCGCTGATGGTGGCTGGTGCGGCGAAGGTGCTGATGTCGCCAAGCATTGCGACTAAATGGTCAACTCTTTGCTCCAACTGGCGGGTTAAGGCTGCATTGCTGGGTTCACTAGCATCTGGTCCTGGTGCTGCTTGCTCCAAGTTGTGTACACGGGAATGGAGTGCCCGTGTAGCATCCTCGTGCAAATCCTTATGGTTCCGCACTGCCCCTCGGAGATTCACCAGCTCGGACTGCAGGTGGTTAAAAGTGTAAACCAACCGGGTCACGAGTTGGAGAGGAACTCCTTGTGCTGCTCTTCCGGTGCCGCGTCGTCATGGTCCTCAAATGGTTCAAAATGTCAGAACTTGAGTCTGTTGATGCTGGCGGCTTCATGCCGCTGCAGCAGATCCTGGGCCTCCTTGAGGCGGACGTGGGCATCTGCGTCAGCTGCGGCCTGAAGCCGCTGCTTTTCAGCTGCTGCCTTGGCTGCCACCCGGCGTTGTTCCTCAACCTTGATCAGTGTGAGCTGAGCTTGGAACCACTCGGCAATGGACTCGTTGGCCAGTTGGCCTGGCATGCCCAAAGCTGAAACCGTCATGGTGGTGGGGCACTGCTGACGTTGGTACGGCTGTTGTCGTCGCACTGTTGTCGTGGCACTACTGACCTGGCACTGCTGACGTAGCAATGCTGATGTGGCACTGTTGTCGGGGCACTGCTGACATGGCACTGCTGTCGTGGCACTGCTGACGTGGCACTGCTGCTGACGTGGCACTTACCAAACCGAGAATGCAGACAAAGGGGTGGGTGGGAAGGAAACGCAGGAAGGTAACACAACTGCACTTTCCATTCCCGTGCAAGGAAAATGAGCAGAAGCGAGATGACAATAACCAGAATGCACAATCACATTGAAAGCCAAAAAGTATCACAGTTTCCTGAAAGCGGCATTGCACCAATATGACACCAATGGAGAATCGTAACACTGAAAACCAATATCAATGAGACCTTGCTCTCACCACCACCAACATGAGTTCAGGACCGTCTCCCTACTTGGCGCTCGACGCCCAGCCTACTTCCTACACAGCTACAATCTGCCTACTAATTGACAATGCAACTGTTGACGTCAGCAGCCCAAGAAGTACTTGAAGATGTCGCCCAATGCAGACTATCGCCAATACCAGGTATGTGCCCTCACATCATCATCATCATCATCCTTCTCTCTCTCCCTCTTTACACCCACGTCTTCCCTCTATACACCCGAAGACCCCCCCTGCGGCCTCACTGTAGTCCAAGCCCATCCAGCTATGGAGGTCGGGCTATGGCGCTGCCCTCAGCCTGTCTCTTATACACATCTAGATGTGTATAAGAGACAGTACCAGGTATGTGCCCTCACATCATCATCATCATCATCCTTCTCTCTCTCCCTCTTTACACCCACGTCTTCCCTCTATACACCCGAAGACCCCCCCTGCGGCCTCACTGTAGTCCAAGCCCATCCAGCTATGGAGGTCGGGCTATGGCGCTGCCCTCAGCAGCGCCCTGCTTCCTGCACGACCCCACGCGCTAGCACCTTGCCTCTTCGCGCCAGCAGCAGTCCACGAGCGTCCGCTCCAGCAGCGCTGCCACCAGCATGCAAAATGCTCCCTCCTGGCCAGGCAGCGAGCTCTTTCCTATAAGGAAAGAGCCTGCCTCTCTCGGCGGCCTGGCTGGCCTGGGCCTCTGCCCAGAAGCTTCCGGTAGGCCCCAGGAGGCTGTGCCTCCGATGCTGCTGCTGGGCCTCCCAACTGCCTGTGTATGAGGCTGCGATTCTCGCCCAGGGCCTGCATTTTTGGAAAGGCCTGGAAGGTCGTGGAATGTCTTGCTGCTCGGCCAGTGTTTCCCTCAACCAACTGGCGCGTTGAAACTGCCTGGACCCCAAATATGAAATTGACAGTTGACAGCCTCTCGTGATTTGTTAGGCCCGCCTTCACTTAGGGCAGGCACATCTGCAGCAAAGGCCCCTTAGGCCTGTCGAGGACCCAGATCCTCGCATTCCCTCCTTTTCTTAGTCCTCTAAGAAGTCTTCTAATTTGCAGGCATCTTTCCCTTGAGTTCTCTTTCATAGCCTGCAATAACTTGAGGTGCTGTTCGCATGAGTTCTTCTCTGGTGAACCACCGATCTTCGCTGCGATCCAGATGATGTCTGAATCTGACACGGTATTGCATTCTTGGCTTAGGAGGGCGGCCTCTGCCCGGCGGTTTAGGCATTGGCATGACTCGATGCTCCACAATTTCGTCGATGTCAAATTCATCCATGGTTGGGGGCAGCATCGACCGTCTGGAGGGAAACTGTTCAGTTTCTGCGGAAGGTGCCAATTTTGAGGCGTGAAAAACTGGGTGTGTGCGTAAGTGAGGTGGGATGTGAATCACATAGGAAGGTCCGTCTATCTGATCCCCCACTATATCTAGAACCTCCCAAGGACCGTATTGTGGCATCTGTTTGCGAGATATGCCCAACTCCTGACCTAGTTCAGATGATTTGACCCAGACTCTATCACCTACCTGAAAGTTAGAGGGTCGTCTATGCTTATTCTCAGATGTGATCATAGCATCCTGAGACTTTCTAATATGTTCAACGGCCTGCTGCAGCATCTGCTTGTACTTGACAGCTATGCTGCCAGGTGCTGCAGTGGGCTGTCTTTTTTCTGGTAGCAGAATGTCAAGTGCAGTTTTGGGCTTCCAACCAAGGTGCAGTTGGTTGGGAGTCATACCAGTAGTATTGGGCACAGCATTGTTGTAGAGGCTGGTGACGAGAGGTAACTTCTCGTCCCAGTCATCCTGACTTGGCTTAATATAATGCCGAAGCAGGTGCTGTACTACTCCGTTCATCTGTTCTGCCTAGCCATTTGACTCAGGGTGGTTCCCTGACGTCGTTTGTAGCTTGGTGCCCATCTGCTCAGCTGTTGACTGCCATAGTCCGCTGGTAAATCTTACATCCTATCACTTACTATAGATGTAGGGAGTACAAAATCACGGACCCAGTTATCCAAAAACAGTTTGATGTATAGTCAGTCTTAGCAGTCTCCGGCATAGCGATAAGTCTTGCATATTTAGAAAAGCGGTCCACTATACCGAAGATGTGTCTCTTGCCAGTCCTGCTGGTCACAAGAGTATCCATGAAGTCCATGGACACACTCTGACTTGGGCCTTCATAAATCGGCAAGGGTTTGATTAGCCCTAGTGGAGCCTGAGTCCTAGGTTTGTCCCGTTGGCAAACCTGGCAGGTCTCAACGTATCTTTTTGCATCTTTCATCATAGTAGGCCACCAAAATCTTTGCACTAGGTTAGCTGATGTCTTTTTATAGCCAAAATGGCCAGTTACATCATGGCATTCCCCTCAAAATAAACTACGCAAAGACTCACTATCTGGAACACAGTCTTTTATTCCCTGTCTTCTCAAGAAATAGCAAGCCAGTTACCATCGTAAATTCGTCAGAAGTTAATTTATCTTTCTCTTTGAATTTACGGATGATCTCAGACATAATTGGATCTTGCTGATAGGCTTCCACCAAAGATCGAGTTAGATCGTCAGATATGCCAAATTCAGTCACTAGTGCGCCCAGATAATCTCCCCGACGTGATAGAGCATCAACTACTTTATTGTACTCTCCCTTGATTGGATCGAGTTGATAGTCATACATGTCTATCACTTGAATCCACCGCTTGAGTGCGTCAGAGAGTACAGGCTGCATCTTAATCCAGCGCAAAGTCTCATGGTCAGATCTCAAGTAAAAGCATATGCCTAGGAGATAGTGTCTCCAATGGACCAGCGCTCTGTAAAGGGCATAGAGTTCATGCTCATACGTGGACTTTGCCAGTTTCTGAGATGGCATCTTCTTACTCATGTACACGATGGTCTCAACTTAGGCCCCTCCTTTTGCGCAAGGACCGCACTTATACCATATTGGTTGGCATCTGTGGTCACAACAAACGGCTTATCAGGATCCGGAAGCTTGAGGACTTCGTAGTGTGTCAGAGCATACTTACAATTTCTTGAAGCTTGCTTCACACTCTTCAGTCCACTCCCAAGGGGTGTCAAGTCAAGTTAGATTTGTTAATGGGGAAGCTATAGTCCTATAGTTTTCAACAAACGGATGATAATAGCCCGTCATCCCCAAAAACGATTGAACCTCAGTAACAGTCCGAGGTCTGGGCCAGTCTCGTATGCTGGCCACTTTGGCATCATCCAGCCTCAACCCATCCGCGGAGATTTCATGCCCCAAGTACAAGATCTTGGTGCGACCATACTCGCATTTTTCCAAGTTTACCTTGTACTGGTGTTGTCTTAGGAGACCTAGCACTATTTTTAAGTGTTGAGTGTGCTCCTCTACAATCTTACTAAAAATAAGGATATTGTCGAGGTACACGACAATAAACTTGTCTAAGTAATCATGAAATATCCTATTCATGGTGTGCTGGAATATCCCAGGGGCATTGTATAGGCCAAAGGGCATTACCACAAACTCGTACAGACCATAACTGGTTTGAAAAACGGTTTTGTGTAGGTCCTCAGGTCTAATAGCAATTTGATGGTATCCAGAATAGATCTATCTTCGTAAAGTACCGGCATCCCTGCACTCTATCCAGTAGGTCGTCGATGCGGGGTAGGGGCTCCGCGTTCTTAACGGTGATGGCATTGAGGCCCCTATAGTCAACGCAAATCCTCAGTGTACCTCCCTTCTTAGGAACAAATAAAATTGGCGCACCGTAAGGGGAGGTACTAGGTCGAATCCATCCCTTCTCAATGAGCTCTTTGAGCTGGCGGCGGATTGTGCACGACAAGCTAACTTGAGCCTGGCGGGCAGCTTTAACCGTCCAAGGAGCGGCGTGGAAAGGGGGTGCTCTTAATTTCTACTAGAGAGGTAGGCAATATGAGAGATGCAAATATTATTGTGATGAGCTGCAAAGTTCCAAAGAAAAGTATAATGGATGGGAACTGGACA